GGTTGGGCGCCCCCCTGCCGATGCAGGGGATACGGGTTCGTGCCCCGGTACGGGAGGATCCCACATGCCACGGAGCAGCTAGGCCCGTGAGCCATGGCGTCTGGAGCCTGTGCTCCGCAACGGGAGAGGCCACAACAGTGAGAGGCCCGCGTACCGAAAAAAAAAAAAAAAAAAAAAGGGATTTGGAGGGGTATTGCCAGACTACCCTCCAATCAGCCTACACAAGCCCACCCTCACTGCAGTGAGAATGCACGGCCCCAATTGAATTCTATCAAACTTTCCCATCTCTGACAGTGACAGGTGAAAAACAATGAGTATGATTTGCAATTCTTTAATGATGTGTAGTTATTAGTATGTTTTTTATGTTAACCATTTATATTTCCCGTGAATTGCCTTTCATAGCTTTTGTCCACTGCAGTGGGTTGAACAGTGACCCCTGAAGTTCATGTCCCCCTGGAACCTCAGAATGTGACCCTGTTTAGGAAAGAGGATCTCTGCAGATGTAACGAGTTAAGAGGCCACCCTGGATTAGGCTGGGCCCCGAACCTAGTGACATTGTCCATGTAAGAGGAGAAGACGTACAGTAGGAAGACTGCCATGGGAACATGCAGGCAGAGGTCGGAACGGTGCAGCCGCACGTCTGGGAGCCCAAGGACCGCAACCCCCAGGAGGTGGGGAGGCGAGGGAAGGGTCTTCTCTAGAGCCTCCGGAGGGGCACGGCCCTGAGGAAACCCTGGATCCAGACTTCTGCCTCTAGGACTGTGAGGGAACAAATTTCTGTTGTTTTAGGCCACCAACTTTGTGGTACTTTGTTATGACAGCCAAAGGAAGATAATACACCTGTTTTCCAAAAAAAAAAACCTGTTGATCTGTTGATATGTAAGAACTCTTCGCATATTAATGAAATTTGTCCTGCCTGTCAAAGCAAATGTGACTTTGATACACACACAGAACGGATGTCACGCGTGTGTGGACCATAAAGCGTAAGTGCATAGTGAGCACCCACCAGGGACAAGGATGTAACCAACGCCCATCACCTGCAGGCTCCTCTTCTGCCTCGCCCCCGCCTTCTCCGACTAAAACCACAAGGCTGAGTCTGCGCTTTTACTTCCTTTGCTAAAAAAAAGGTTTCATTACACGTGTATGTGTAACAGGTAAGACACTGTTTCGTCTTGACTGCTTTTGAATTTTGTTAACACGGAATTCCGCCTTTCGACTCTTCTGCGACCTGGCTCAACATCATGCTCCTCGGGCGGGCGAATCCACGAGTCGCATAAGTGGACTCGTGGATTCCACTGTCACTGCTGTCATACAACCTTCCCTGCTGTGCACACTGTCCACGGGGTCCGCTACAAGTGATGTGTCTGTTCTCCAACAGATGGACGTTTGGATCGTTCCCAGATCTCTCTGCTCCTCTGGTTATGCTTGACATACTCTGCAGTGCATGTGCGACAGTTTCTCTTAAACATCTAGGAGAGGGACTGCTAGTTGAGAACATGAGTTTTCAACCTAATAAAATACTGCCACGTGTTTTCCAAAGTGGCTGTACCTGTACGTTACAGTACACAGTTGACCCTTGAACCTGGGTATGAACTACGTGAGCCGACTTACACGTGGATTTTCTTCACTAGGTGTGCACTGCGGCACTACCCGACCCATGGTCGGCTGACGCTGTGGATGCGGGACCTCGGCTAGGAGGGCTGACTGTAAAGTTATACTCGTGTTTGAGACTGCTCGGAGAGTCTGCACCCAACCCCTCTGTCATCCAAGAGCCAAATGTATACACGTTCCCATAAAACGAGATCTTTACAATTCTTGACTTTTCACAAATTAACAGAACTGTTTAAAGAGAATGATATTTGATCATTTCTGGGCTAAATGGAAAAGAAGAGATTTTTTTCTGACACTTTAAATTCTGCTAATAGATTAAAAAAAAACAACTTGAAAATAGCTGCCGGTACCATGGTTTAAAGATAGAAAAGAAATGCTCACATGAACTGCAATGGTCCAGAGAGTCAGTGCGTTTTTTGATTTTTTTGATGGGGACCATTTTTAAAGTCTGTGTTGATTTTTTTTTTTTTAATTAATTTATTTTTGGCTGCATTGGGTCTTCATTGCTGCATGTGGGCTTTCTCTAGTTGCGGTGAGCAGGGGCTACACTTCATTGCGGTGCAAGGGCTTCTCACTGCAGTGGCTTCTCTTGTTGCGGAGCAAGGGCTCTAGGTGCATGGGCTTCAGTAGTTGTGGCTATCGGGCTCTAGAGCTCAGGTTCAGTAGTTGTGGCACACTGGCTTAGCTGCTCCGTGGCATGTGGGATCTTCCCAGACCAGGGCTTGACCCCGTGTCCCCTGCATTAGCAGGCGGATTCTTAACCACCGTGCCACCAGGGAAGCCCTCTGTGTTGAATTCTGCCACAGCATTGCCTCTGTCTTCTGCTCTGGCCCCTTGGCCGCGAGGCCTGCGGGATCCTAGCTCCCCGACCAGGGACTGAACCGCACCTCCTGCGCTGGAAGGCGAAGTCCCTGGAGTCTCGGCGCTTTATCAACCTATATTTTATCAACACTTGATATATCTGTCACACCACAAAACGCAGGACATGGAGGAAAGTCAGGATGAACTGGGGCTTCAGGCCTAAGTTAAGCAACGGCTCTTTTAAAAAATAATCTTAAGGCCTGAGAAGATGAGACTGTGAGGGTTGAAAGAACAAGACTTGGGAGCCAGATCCCACCACTGCTAACAGGGCGGGGGCCTGGGGAGAGTCTTGGCCGCTTCCAGGTGGGTGAGCAAGGGTGGATGGGTGTGGCCGAGGGCCCCAGGAGCCGGCGGCTGGCGCACAAGCAGCGAGCCCACGCAGGGCGCCTCTCACAGTTATCACAGGTGGACAGAAAGTAACATCTGCCCCAAGACACGCTGCAGCGTCAACACTGATAAAACAGTTTTAAAAGTTTTCATCACAAAAGCATAGTAAGATTTAATTTAATTTAATTTGCACAACTCAGGTCCCAAACTGGTAATTACCACTTTGTGCCTCTGCACCTGCTGTGTCTCTCTCTCCTGTTTGCAGTCAACAGATTGAAGACCCAGATCAGAGCAAATGCCACTTCCTCTCCAAAGCCCTCCTGGACCCTATCAGGCCATGTTTAACTGTCTCTTCCCATACCACCATGTACATAATTGTATATCTGACTGTCTCCCCTACCAGACCGTGAAAGGAAGGGGAGAGACTGCAATCTACTCTTGTGTGTCCTGAGCAGCTAGCTCAGGGTCTGGCGCCCAAGAGCAGTCAACAAACGTTTCACGACTCCATGTGTGATGCTGTTATTCCAAAACCAACCTCTTTAAGCCTCGGCTGGAGCCCAGAGCTGGTTACTCATAGGCTATTTAACTGACATGCTTACAATTCTTTCTCAGATGAAAATTAATTCCTGGATTCTATCCTGCAAATATAGGTAATTGATTTTGGGCAAGAAGCAAAGTGTAACTTTGATAGCAACATAGTAACATGTGTAAGGTCAGGAGTATTGCTCATTGGGTACACCGTCTCATTCACTTGAATTTAATTACTGAAGAAATTAGAAACACTACTGCTATTTTTCAAAGGGGAGGGCACAGTTGTTAAAGGTTATTAATAACTGGAAACGACAAGAGAATCATACAGGAAACAGATTTCACGATGGAAAAATCCCAGGCATAGGAAAGTTATACAAGGTAAGGTAAAATGGAGACTGTAGAATACATCTCATTTCATACAGAATAACAAAGAAAACTGTTCCTAAATTTTGGTAAGTACTCCCGAATATCCACCAGGAATTCGACTGTGGCCCTCACGCCTGGCTGCTCTTCCACGGTCCCCTCCCATCTAGTGACCCACCAGTCGCCATCCTGCCTCGGCCAGAAGCCAATTCCCAGCCCCTCAAAGCCCAGCCTCTCAGCAGCACCTGCGCCACACACCCTGCAGCTCCGCCTGCCTCTGGGACGTCACTCCTCTCCTGACCCTTCCACGTCGGCCACGCCTTTGCTGGGCGACCTCCCCCTCTCAGTATGCTGTAAGCATCATGTGCCCCAGGCCTCTGTCCTCCGACTCTGGCCCTTCTCTCTACTCGCTCCAGTCCCAGGGCTGCAAGTACCACCTATTTACACATACCTACGGCCCAAACCACTCCCTATCCCCCCGAAAGCCTCCTCTCTTCCCCTGAGCCCCACTTTGGTAGGACACTCCGGTTGGTCCAGCTGCTCTAGTTACAAACGCTGGGCATCCTCCAAGCTCATACTCCATACTCGAGCCGCCGGCTAATCCCACTGGCTCTGTGTTAACTATGACCGCATCTGTCCCTTGCTCAAGGCTGCCCCCCATCAACTTTGCACCTCGCCTCTGCTCTGTGCAAGGGGAAATCCACCTGCTGAGTCTGTTCCATCTCGGAGCCTGAGCCCCCCACTGCTGCTCCCTCTGCCCCAGTGCTCTTCCTGCATCGTCCTGACTGCCTCAGAAGGGCCCACCCTGATCACCCCTCCTCCCCTGTTGCCAGTTTGTCTTCATAGTACTTATGATCTCTTCCCACTGGAAGATGAGGGTCACCACTGAACCTGCAGCTCCTAGAAGAGTGCCCAGCACACAGCAGGTATGCAGTAAATACGTATTCAACAAACAGACAAATATCTGAGGGTCTCTACACCACTGACTCTTTTTAAAGTTTGTCCTCCATCCCAACACCTGTTTATCTTTGATTTACATATAAGTGATCGGATTCTAACATGTGCACAATATAAAACCGTGCCAAAATAATGGAGGCGTGAAAACATTTTAAATTCTCATCTCTCTCCAGGAGAGACCGCTGCACTTCAATACTGCAGGATAAATTACCCTGTTGAAGTGATGGTTATGTCACGGAGCCGTAAAATGATTAAGCAATCCCACAAGATTTTAGAGGCTATTCCCTGGCACAAGTGAAAAATTCTACCTTTTTTGAATAATCGGTCTTCATTTTTTGGGCACCCCAAATGGCAGTCAATCTAGGCAATGGAAAATTAATTGCATAAATCAAAATGGGCAAAACAAATGAAGCTTAACTCTGAAATAAAGTCAGATGAAAATTGCTATTTACCCCTATCTTTTCTCTTTATTTCTGTTAGAATAGTCATTTAACAAGCTATCCTGAGGACAAACGACATCTGGATGGAGTAGAAGGTGGGTGAGACAAGAGAACACCGCACCTGAAGCGTTATCATCGGGACCTGGCTTCTGCAGTGGCCGCACGTGGCCTCACGGTATTTACAGGCCTTGTCCACGTGGTCACGCAGGTCCTTCCTCAGCACCTTCTCTTTGCAGTCGGCACGGACACACAAAAGTTCCTCAAACTGGCAATCATTCTTCAAATGCACCTGTGAGACAAACAATTCAAAGTTCTTAATCGGCAAAACTCCAATCTGAAATACCAAATTCTAGCCTCTATGCAATTAAATCCCACAAAAATGTTTCTATCTGCGGCTAGATCAGCTTTTCACAGAGAAGAGTGACAAATGTATCAAGAGACACTGAATTTCATGCCCCATTTAATGACTACTCAAACTATATTGCTTTTGAAGAATTAAGTCAATAACTCTTCTTCCTGGATAAAGGGTTATCTGCTAAGGACTCTGTTTTATTCCAATTCAAATATCTTTCCAGGATAAAATATGATACTAATCAAAAAAACATAAGAAGCGACGTGGAACTTCATGGTTATAAAAAGGAGAAGGTTTCAATGGGCCTCTTCTACAGTCAAAATTCAATTCAGATTTTTCTACTCTAAATAGGGTGGGGTGTTCAAAAACCAACTGACAGTTCTGCCTATGATGTCATTAAAAATAACATTTCATACCTAAATGGCTCTGACTGCTTTCATAGTTGGTTGTGTCTGAAAGATTAATGCAAACATGATCTTAAGGGGCCACATCGTACTGACCAGGGACTTGTATTTCTGGATGTAAAGCCGACACATCACATCCCCACTTACCAGCAGGTGCCCCAGTGCTAATTGCTCTACACAGCCTCTGCCTTCGTTCCTACAGTATATCTGAAGGGCCAGAATCTCTCTCTTGCAGCAATTATCCTTAAACACCTGAAATTGAAAGTTAGCTATTTTAGAGGATTAATATTTCTTAATCTCCACATGCTGCTACTTTAGACAAGGCAAAACCACTGTAAAAATACCATGAGAACATCCCTTAAGTGGGCCTCAGAAAGCATTAAGAACTATTTTAATCTAAGTAGAATGAAGGAGCCACCCCCACTGAGACACAATTTAAATAATAAAACCTTAACTACCACCTTTTATTAGATAAACCAAAAGTAAGCAAGTTACACTGAACAACTGAAGATCACTTTGGAGCAGCACACATTTTGGATTAACTCTGACACACTCAAGACGAGGACACACCAGGACCAAGTTCACATCTGGATCCTGGAGATTTCAGGCACCAGCACTGCCGCAGGTGGGACCTCCCACCAAGGGACCAGGGCAGAGCCCGCTACAACTTGATGCCTTTGTAGATCCTTGCCAGAGAAAGAGAGAAACTACTGTAAAAGATAATATTTTGCAGATGGTTTGTAAAACATTTATTTTGGTTCTTGCTCCTAAGGTTATGTCACTAATAACTCATTTTTCACCAAGAAGAAAGCATTAGCCTGCTATGTAAGAAACTTTTTTTTTTAACTTTTATTTATTTATTTGTTATTTATGGCTGTGTTGGGTCTTCGTTTCTGTGCAAGGGCTTTCTCTAGTTGTGGCAAGCGGGGGCCAGTCTTCATCGCGGTGCGCGGGCCTCTCACTATCGCGGCCTCTCTTGCTGCGGAGCACAGGCTCCAGACGTGCAGGCTCAGTAATTGTGGCTCACGGGCCCAGTTGCTCCGGGGCATGTGGGATCCTCCCAGACCAGGGCTCGAACCCGTGTCCCCTGCATTGGCAGGCAGACTCTCAACCACTGTGCCACCAAGGAAGCCCAAGAAACTTTTAAAAATATATGTTGCAAAGACTGCGGTTAATCCAATAATGAAAATGTTTCCCTTTGAAAATGAAAACCTCCCTTTAATTTCATTTTTCCCTTGGAAAACAAATACTCTCACTCCTTCTAACAACACAAGCTACACCGTCCTCAACCTCAGGCATTTCTAAGAAACGCCCACACGCTGACACGGTAACAGGGGGAACAGGGAGCTCAATATGCCTTTCTAGACTCCACAAGAAAAGAAATAGAAACAACAGCTGTTAAGAGTTAAAAATAAACTAATTTGGAGTCAAATCTAATCCTTTGTAAACAAGACTTTTTAAAAAAGGTCATAATTTTAGATATTAAAGTAAACAGAACAGGTATTTTTAACCAGTAATAAATAAGCTTCCTTTCTGTGCCATTAAGTTCCTTTTCTTTCTTTCTTTTTTTTTTTTTTTTCCTCCTTTGGCTATGCCTCATGGCTTGTGGGATCTTAGTTCCCCGACCAGGGATCGAACCTGGGTCCACGGCAGTGAAAGCACCAAGTCTTAACCAATGGACTGCCAGGGAATTCCCTAAGTTTCTTAAATCATTTACCTTTAGGGCGAAAAAACATAGAATGAAAATATCAGAATAATAAAAGTACAGAATTTTAGAGCTGAAAAAGATCTAGTATCATTACTACAACTGTCCCATTTTACAGATGGGGAAGTGGATGCCCCGGGGTGGCCACTATCCTCAGTGACCCGCCGAGGGGTTGATCTCGGTCTCCCGGCGCCCAACCAACCCTGCATTTTCCCACGAGGATCCATGGCTTCAGTCAGTCTCATTTATGATTCTTCAACAAATCTAGTAATTCTTCTTCAGCTATCAATGCCATTGAAAAATAATGATAATAACTCCGAATAATGAAATGAGACACTAAAAAATTCATCTTAGCCCATTGTTTCAACTTTTTCTCCTGGTCACATTGGTTAGATACATGTTAACAAGTTAACAGGTTGCCATGTTAAGACAAGAGGTAGAACTGAGTGATTCGTTTTTCTTAAAAACAATCACTTCCAAGCTAGGTGAAGTCTTTAGTGGCAGGTAAATGCTAAGGAAGAAAAGGTACATGGACGTTTAGCCAATTCTGTCTCTGAACCGCCCAGAGCAGGTGACACCGGATGCACCGTCCTGGCAGCCCACGGGCACCCGTCACCAGCAACCCTCAAATCACCACACTCACCTGTGCTGCTTAACAACAAAGCCAACTCTGGGAAAACCCCAGAGTGAGAATTTTACTGTACAATTTAATGACCTACATTTAAAAAATTGTTAGGTTCATTAATCAAAATATCAGAACCACATATTTTGATATTTTAAGTACTTCAAGAATGAGTCGTTTCAAACTAGAATTGTGCCTGGCAGGGCCTGGCAGGGCCTGGATGGCCACAGGGATGCGTGACAAGGGCTCAGGGCCCATGGGGGAAGCTGGTGGGCGCCCAGGGCCCCTGTGTGCTCATCTGCAGGACACTCGTGAGCTTTTCCTGGCATTCTCAACCACGTGGGGGAGGGAAGGGCTGAAATCTCACACGTGTCTTAATGACTTCGAGACGCTGCCTGGGGGCAGGGAGAGAGCAAATCCAATGGAACCCCTCAGACTAGCACTGCTTGAAGGTAGAGCACAGGCATCTGGGATAAAGACCCGAGACGACAGTGCACATCTCTGCACTTTACTTACTCCTCACCCACCTGGGGGTCTTGGGAAGTGAACCCATTACTGACACAGGTGAGGAGACAGGCTCGGGGGTCACACGGCTGGGGACCTGCCCAGCGGATCTGCCCTGTCCGTCCCTGTGCTTACATGACACAGTCCCGTGTCTCGACCCGGCTCCATCAGCTGTCAACTCAGAGAAACTCGGAACCAGGACACTGGATGCAAACTACGTAGGAGGCACTACCCAGCGCAAAACAGTGACAAAATAATTTATTAAAAACCAAGAATACCTTATCTTTGCTGATGCCTTCTCGACATGCAGTGCATTTCGGGCTGGAGGAGCTGAGAGGAAACACACAGTAAATGTGTTAGAGTGAAAGCCACCTTCTCATCTGAACCCACTGGATACGGTGAACCGTTCACTTTAGGGTCATGTCTGCCGTGCGAAGCGCAGAGCAACCACCAGAGCTTCAGGATGCCCCGATGAATTTGGCTTAAATACGGTTTATATAGGAGAAAAGGGTTAAAATTCTTTTTTTAATAGTAATTTTTCTTAAGGAAGTTTTTAAGCAGAACATCTTAGATCAGTCCTTCTTGGAAAGTCCCTTTCAATTAAAGGTGAAATTTTATTTCAGAAACCAAAAGCAGCTCTCTGTGAAGGGGCTCTTCAGCGCGAGTGTCCACAGCTATGAGGAAAGCCTCTGAACGGTTCTGCTTTATAAGCACAGTCAGTGCTTTATCCACACGCTATTTCCTTCACAGTGTATTGAAAGGATGATGCAATTCCGTGGACTTGAACAGTGTGGGAATTTAAAGCTGACCCTGTCTAAAGAAACCACTAGTCTCCTACATTATTCTTGTCCCCAAACTCAGGACACCAGCCACTGCTCCCACGCTGCCCTGTTTTGGACTTGATTCTCACCCCATCCTGGGCCTGGAAACCACCTCCTAGAGATTAAAAATAAAAACTAATTTTGAGCGCTCCCTACTTCCAGGGCCCCTGCCCTAGACAGCCTAAAGGCGCCAGGAGTCCAGGCCAGGGAGCAGCAGCAGAGGCTTCAGGAGCAGGGGGCAGGTGGGCACGAGTGCACTGGGGCCCTGCGGAGGGGCAGGAGGGCGGAGGGTCGGTGCGGGAGGAAATTAACGCGTTTTAATATAAAAGCTCACTCATTCAGCCTACGTTAATATGGAGCTTGTGCCAAACTGTTTTAATCATGGGAATCTTTTCACATGCTTAGACCCCGGGGCTGAGTGGCATGTGGGCGGGATCCCCTGACACCTGCAGAACACAGAACAGGAGGAGCTCAAGAAGCAAAGAAGGGCCCAAACCAGCAGAGCAACAGCCCCCAGCCCCTTCCGCGGCGCCAGAGTGCAGGGAAATCAGGCGCTCTGAGCCTGCTCTGCCATCACTAAGCTCCAACCAAGAGTTATTTCACCCACAAGTTGGTGAAGCTGAGTTCACCGTTGGGGATGAGTGGATAAGAGCACGGTGGGAAGTACCCAAAGGAGGGTGCCAGGAGGGAGGCTGTGCTCAGTGGTGGGTCTAGAGGAGCAGTGGGCAGCCTTGCCAGCCCCTGTCCGCTGCTGGGGACCCAGGCTGAGCACAGTGCCTGGCACCCTGCTCAGGAAATAACTGTGGGATGAACGAAGGTGCTCTCTCAGCCAACGTTAGCTCTGCTGTAAAACTCCAGCTTCTCTGATGCCCGTGATTCTAAATGGCATCAATGCCCAGCTGACAGGCCCGTGAGGGCTGCTGCGGGTTCCCTGACACTCACTGGATTCTACTCAGCTTCGGCCTGGCCCATCCCTCCCATGGCCCTGTCCCCCAATCCCAGCCCCCAGGCGCTCGCCCCAAAGGGCCCCACCGTCATTTGCAGATGGGATGTCTCCTCCCCATACCGTGAGCGCCTACAGCAAAACTTGACCACACAGATGGAGACCCGGGCACCAGGGCCGAGACCTCGCTGGAGAAGCTGGGGAGGGGCTCCCTGAGTCTGCGGGCCGGGCCCCAGTCCCCTGCGTTGGGGCACCCACCTGAGCAGGGCGCCCATGCAGGTCTCGCAGAAGCGGTGTCCGCACTCGGTCTGCTTGGGGTTGCAGAGCACCAGGCGGCACTTCTCGCACTTGTACTTGTCCTCCACGGCCTTCACGAAGCGCTCCTTGTAGCCCCCCTGCTCGGGCACCAGGACGGCAGGCCCGGCGCCGCGGTCGGGGTGCAGCTTCAGTGGGGGGTTGGCTGGCAGGGTGCCAGCTGCGTCCAGCTTTTTACTCGGCTCCATCCTGCGGGGGGCGGGGGGGGGGTGGTCCATCAGAGACACACGCCGGGAGGCACAAGGTGCTGACGGGAGGCCTGGGAGAGCCAGCGCGTGAGCTCTCCTTCAGCCTCGAGGACACACGGGTGCCCTTCCAGCCTCCAGCACCTGACGGAGCAGGACGCCGCCATCAGACACACCTACCACCCAAGGACCTGCTACAAGGTACAAACTGCATTATCAAGGCTCTTTAACTTAAAATACAGATGATACTCTGCCGTAACTTTAAATTCTATGCATCATTCTGATGGCGTGGCTGGAGCCGCAGCTGCTCTCAGCCAATTTCATTTCCTTGTGAGCCTCGCTGCGCTGCCAGGTGATACGACCCGACCCAGGGCAGTGTCACCGTGGAGCCCAAGGCCGGACCCGCTCCTCTCACCAGCGATGGCACCTCCCTCGGGGTCCTTCGCACTCTGCCCGCCCAAGGGGCGGCACCCGCCCAGGCCCCTGCACCGAGCCTATGCCCTGCAGCCTTGGGAGGTGCTTCCTGGGTTTGCGGGGACCCCGTGCCCGGGGTGGGCCGGTAGAGGGGATGCCGGGCTGGGTCTCCGTGCCCTCTGCCTTCTGGGAGCGCACAGGTGGCTGGTCCCCACCTGCGAGTCCCCGTTGCCAGGCAAAGTAGGAGGTGCCTGGAGACCAGCCACAAAGACCCCAGGCCCAGCAGCCTCGGCAGCAGCGCATCTGGTGGCCCTGCAGAGAAGGTTCTTTCACAGCTCACCAGGCCTCTCAAGACTGCGCTGTGCTTCTGCTCAATTCATCTATTTCTGCTGCTGACAAAAATAAGGGCCAAATTCCTTCTCCTCACAAGGTTGTGGGCATCCGCCCGCGTCCCCACCCTGCCCTCCTCAGCCTGAGGCTCCTCGCCAGAAGGGCCCGGCCGGGCCGCAGACTCGGGTTCTGCGGGAACCAGAGCGCACCCCACCCTAGACCCCAGGGTGCCCAGGCGGGCTGCGGGCAGAGACCAGCTCCCCCAGCCTCATTCCTCACGCCACCTCTTCCTGCCTCTCCATGGGGCGGAGGGAATGAACGTTTCGTAGCTGGGATGTGTAGGAACCACACAGGCAGCAGTACATGCGACAGGTAAATGACCTGGCGTTTCAGCCACACTTGGGTTACTTTTAACAAAATAGCACATTATTGTGCAAAGTGTGGGAGCCTCCTATGAAATCTATTTGTGAAACCAAAACAAAGAAGATTTCAAAATGACCCCAAAAGGCCAGCAACCCTTTGCTCACCAACTTGTTGATTAGAATCCTGTTCATCAAGATGCTAAGTAGGAAGGTGCCCGTCAGGGAAAAGGGTCAACCAGGAGCCGACCTGCTGCCACTGGCCGCCCCCCTGCCCTTCTGCAGAGGCTGACCCTGGCTCCACAGCTCCACAGCTCCCCGCCGGGAACGCCCCTCCCACCTCCTCAGGGAGGCCCACCCTGGTCAGCCCACACACCCCACCCCTTGGTCCGTCCACCTAAGACTGCTCGTTTATAGTTTATTTACTGCCTATCTCCCTGTGGCAGGACGCAAGCTCCTCAGCAACGTGGGTTTGGATCTGTTCTGTTGACTGACAACCAGTCACCTAGAATCACTAGTGTCTGATGGGTAGAAGGTTCTCATCTTATCTCAACTCAAAAATACACATTTGTTGAGTTAACAAATAGAGGGAAAGGTGAGGTCTGAGCCACTCACACCAAACTGTTTCTGTGAAACCAGAAAAAAAAAAACAAAAAAAAAACAGGAAAAGAAAACTCTTCAGATTTCACATCTGATCTCATAGATGTGAAAACCCTATGAGTTTTCATACCTTGAAAACCCTTGCTTAGATTATAAGCTACTTGCGACTTTGGTTTAGTATTTTATCCTGTAGTGCGTAAAGAAGCCGTGTGTTCAATAAAGTTTTTAGTGAGAAATGTTTGATTCTTTGGAGGTGAATTCCTATTTCAAATATGAGAGACAATTACCTTAAGATCAAGTTAATGACAAATAATAAATGTTCCTTTACCTATAACATGTCATACTCTGTATAGACAAATGAAGAATATAGTTTTAGATCCTTGGTTTTATAGGCTGCTTAAGATAAGCGAATGGATGCAAGCATCCCGAGAACATAAGGAGAACGTCACAGCAGCCTGTCCTGAAAGGCAGAGCACAGCCTGCGGCCAGCAGGTGTGCCAGGACTCACCTGGAATGTGAGGCGCTGACGTGGGTAGCTCTGCAGCGGGCCCCAGGGGCCTCTCACAGTCCTGCTCAGGGTCCCGCATCCTGGCCCATGCACGGCCCACTCCTGAGCTAAGCTGCTGGCTGGAGAACGAGCCTTTGGGGAAGGAGGGAAAGA